CAGCATGTGCATAGACTCAGTTTACACTGTGAGCTTATGTGTGCATATTTTGGCCCCCAGGCTTGTAGCATGCATATTGCATTCACATATAAGAAAATTAGAAAAGAAGAGCTGTGTGCTTGTGAGTCTATGCATCTCTTTCATGCACACAAAATATCCAGTGTCACAGCAAATATTGATGGTCTACCAGATGATTTATCAATAAAAACAAAATGCATTAAAAACAGACTTGTCAAAAAGACTGTTGTGCACAAATCTTGCAAGTTAAACACACATTAAAGTTTCTGCTCCACCAGAAACATGAGATGTGTCAAGCCAAAAGTCCAGGGGACAGGAGAAGACCTGAACCCTAACAGGAGGATGAAAGTAGGCCCAGATGGAGGGGAAGAGGTCTCCATGAGGAACCCAAACAGGCCAAGTAACCTGAACCCAGGCCATGTCCATGAGCTGGAGCAGGGTGACACACGGGAGTGCAAGAGGATCGCTAAGATTTCTGACCCAGAGAAATGGGTGATCAAGCAGCTACCGACATCATGTCCAAAAAAGAGTTCCCTGATTTTGATGAAGAGACAGGCAACCTTCCTAAAGTTGATGATGAAGAGGATGAAGACCTGGAATTTATGCTGGTAAAAGAGGAACCCCCATTCCTGAGGGGACACGACAAGCAGAGCACAGACATAAGCCCTGCAAAGACTGTCAAGGCCATGGCTGAATGAGATGGAGAAAAGCCATAGCTTTACACCACCAGACCCACAAAGATGCTTTAAGACTTACACAGATACATGCACAAAATGAGTCTCATATGCACTGGCTGTGCAAGGACATTTCAGCACTTGTCCTAGATGGTGCTGTGTGGATGTGTCCATGCATAATAAACAGGTCTGTGGTGCTGAGCTGACCTGACCCAAACTGTAAAGTGTGCTTGGATTCATTTTGCTACAACACTTTCATTAAGTGAAAAACATGAGTATGTATTGTCCTCTGCTTTATGAATGCACTTAGCGAAACTCAACCAATCATTTCTTTGGCAGTGGTGTGGTCTAGAAAGTTCTGTGTATTCCGTCTGGTCTGTCATTTGCACTGATCTCTGCATCATCTCAACCTGCACATTGCAATGATCCTGCTGTGCTGTCTCCTTCTCTTTCTGTCACTTTTTGTCTTTTCCCCAGTCTGTTATTTCCTCTGTCTCAGGCCTCTCTGGGCTGACTCCCACTACACCTACACAGCAGCAACAGGATCCGATCAGGGGATATGGGGTGGCATCTGGGATTAGATACTTTATACACAGCAGACACTACAGAGGCCTGCATTTGTGTGTGTGTGATTCTGTGTGTAGAACCATGTGCCTTCATCTGTGATCTTTACATTATAGTGTGTGTGTGTGTGTGTGTGTGAGAGAGAGAGAGAGAGAGAGAGTCAGTGGTTTTATGTCAAAGAACTTGCAGCAGTAGTAGCGGCACACAGCAGCATGTGGCCCTGGAGATTAGAGGGAAGCAGAAGGAGAGCACAGAGGTTTAGTAGAAACGTAACTGGTGGAGAAGAAAAGACAGATAAGAGGTGTTTGGAAAGTTAAGAGTTTTAATTTTGACTTTGTCAGAGTTTATAAAAGTAAAAAGGATGGCCTCACACTGAGGCACGGCTGCGGTTATGTTTCTCTAATGCAGGTTTATACATTTGTAGAAGTGTATTCACGATAAAGCAAACCTTCCTCTGATCACACTGTGTAAAACTCAGTGGGTAGGTAATCGGTTTTCAATTTTAGTATTAGAATAGTCAAGACAGCTGGAAATTTTAGTGCAGTCTGAGTCTGATGATGAAGAGGAAAGAGAACACAATGCAGACAGCCTGGTCCGCTAGTGCTCACATCTCTGATGAAGTTAGAGCAGATATAGGCAGCCAGATATTCTAGATCTAAATGGGGACTTTCTTGCCTGAAAAATACCAAAACTTAAGACCAATCCTAGGACAAAATATTCACTAATTCAGTTCCCAGATCAATAAATCATAAGTGAAACGTTTTTAAAACACAACTAATGCCTCTTTGCTGTAGTAAGGCAAACAGACAATGAGCTGCAACCTGATTTTCATCAAGACAAGATGTTTTGTTGAAATATAGTGCATCCGGCTGTGGGACAGGTTTTTCAGAACCGTCTACAAAGTGCAACAATTTTTCCAAACTAAGTGTTGTGGTATAATCAACAGGTGACCGGTGATGTGCCAAGTGATTTTAGTTGCACTAGACAAACCTAAATTATTTTTTGTAGTATCTCTTTTCTTCTGAAACCCAAAGTAAACGGAAAGCCGCTGCTTTAACAGTTGTAGCAAGATTTCAGCCAAGAACTCAGCCCAAATATTTGGATATTTGCCTATTATTAACTACAGGAGCCCTGAAGCCCCAAAATTGTCATTTGGGATGGTCCTATACATTGTAGAAATAATCTGACATCTGAAATTCCAACCTGCTTTTGCAGAAAGAGAAAAGGAATACATGTTTCTTATGGCTTTGACCAGGATGTCTACAAGATAAGGCAGAAATCCCAGGTGTTCTGCAGATGGCTGTCAAACAGGTGACCTTTTACTGCTTCATTTGAACAGTTACTCAGGCAACAGGCTTCGACTTAGTGATAACATGGCCGCAGGATTTGTGAGTGTCCAAAGAATAGCAGTTGTGAGAGGCATAATGCAGCTCAGGTATGCTATTGCAAAACCTGAAATAGGTACCACCGGTAGAAAGTTGTACCATTTTTATCCAACAGCTGAGCTCTTTATGCTATTAATATAAATACTATACATTCACAATATGAGTAATGAAGTCATCTAAACCAATTTAACATGTTCTCCTGAAACCTCCCTTTATATAACTGCAAAATTAAATGTTTA